ACTTGGTGACAATAGTCCCCAGAACCTGGTTATTCTCCACTGTAAAACAGAACACTGGGCACTAACCATGCCCTCACCTTTCTGACATACAACCAACACTGGCTCTGTGCCATCTCCTTTTATAGCCTCTTTCTGCCAACTATGTGCTACTCAAGGAACACCTTTATGCCAGAAGTATTCCCCAGGTGCTAGTTCCACCTAGATTAGCAGCCTCTTTATGATGTCCAAATGGCATAAAGGGTCCAAAATACATCTTTGTATCTGATCCACTGACTATAGTTGAGGCCCAGAAAAGGTACCCCTTTCTCCAGTCTACCATGACGCAGCTGTTTTAGGCCCGTCTTTTGAAGCTCTTCCCTCAGAAACAAGGAAACTAGTAACCCAAATGAAATAAATTTATTAGAGCTACCTAACCCCCGTCCTCCCTGTAAATCACCTCTTTGATTATGCCCCCTTCTTTTCCCATTTCCTGCTGAAGCCTACCATTTAGAAGTCCTACCAGCCCACAGCAGCTCACAATATTTCCTCTCTCCACCCAATTTACCTCCTGGATATCCCAAATTTCATTCATTCTTCCCCGAGTCACGACCGTGCCTTCTCAGAGCTGCTATGGAGGTGTGAATTTAGGTTAATTTCCAATCTCTTCAACTATAATCCTGCTTTGATCAGAAACGCCTAGAGGCAAATATTCAAGCTTTCCTTTGGAACAGAACTCCACTGCCCTGCAGAAGCTTCATGTTGTTCTAGGCTGCTGGGCACTTAATGGAGCAGAATGCATCACAAGCATGGAGCACACATGTGGTACATCTGCACTGCACGATCAATTTAGGTGGGAGAGCACTGACTGAACTGCTGCTAGCACTGGTCTCTTCCAAGTAGGTTTTAGAGATACTATGACGATGACACTTGTGATCTTTACAGAGTTACTAAAGTTTTGACTCTCCTAATTTACAGGGTTACTAGATAGAAGAAACATTAACTAAGTAGCTCAGGTTATTTCCCTTGAAACTATATCTAGAGTCATGCCCATGTTTTAAACCTGCTTCTGAGTATCACTTATTAGTGAACATTTACAGACAGCTTTAGAACAGTTTCAAGCAGAAGTCTGGAGAAGTCAAATTGTACAGGGTTAGTGGACTAGACACCTAATTAAAGTGAATATTGTACAGTAAGGGACAAGATTTATGGCTAGAAAGAAAAAGGACAATACAGTAAAAACAAGGTCCGTTTTACATCAGTGTTTTCAGATATTATAACAAAGTTAGCTAAATGAATTGCTAGTGTAACACCAATGAAGACATGAGTTACACCTGAAAGGCATTTGGCCCAACAGATATATAGTCAGAGGAGGGCCAGATACCTCCTTTTTCTCCCCTTCTACTAAGTTTGTGGCAGGGCAAGTTGAAACTGGAATGGCAATTGTTCCAAATCTGTGTACACTTACTGAAGAACGTCTACACAGTCAGTTAGTGCGTGGCAAGCCGGGGTGTGAATGAACAGCACACTAGCCTGCTATGCACTCAATGGCTGCGCAGACCTCTACTGGTTATTTGAACTTTTAGCGTGCAGTAGCAGGGTCCAGCCAGTTAGTGCACAGCATGCTAGTGCGCTGTGCATTCACACCCTGGCTTATTACACATTAACTGGCCGTGCAGACTTGCCCTAAATGATTTAACCAAGCAACCAACGCTATTCAATCAATGGGATGCAGATTTGCGTACCTCTGATAAAGAATGATTTACAGGAAGATAAAAGCAAATTTAATAGCAATGTGAATGGCACGCTAAGAAGTTAACAGTGCAAAAGGGAAACATGCTGGGAGTAAAAATATTCAGAACAGTGTAATAAGCGTAATGGGATTTAATGGCGTTATCAGACCTTAATGAAGCTTTGCTTAATTTTAGTAGTGTTGACTGGCAAAATAAGATACTGGTTGCAGAAGGATATGCACATCCACTTACCTTTTATACATATTTACTCTATCAAATGGACATATTTACTACAGACAGTAGAAAAACAGAAGCAAGCACATTCATTTATATGACAGAAAACTAGTAAAAGATGCTAATATGACCTTAGTGGAACATATCAAGTGTCATTGCCACTGTTTTCCCAAGTCATTTTAAGAACAATCTACTAAGACAATTAATTATATCGCTTAAAGGATTAGGTCAAGAGTGTCAGATACAAAAATATGAATTTGAAATTTGGCCTTTTTTAAAGGGAGAGACACTATTTCAACTCAACATTTATTTCTTTTAAAAAGCGTGGTAACTTCCAACGTTGGAGAATATTAGTTATACCCCACTGGGGAAAATTATTGGCCTTTACCTTCCTATAAGAAGCATTTTAGGGTCTGACAGGTCAACAGCATCTCTTAAATGGAAGAATGGACACTCATCCCTTAATATTCATACAACCCTTAGATTTAAAAGTCAGAGTTGGTAGAAGACAATAATCTACTCCTTTTACCCCATTTTATTGGTATCTTTCGGTCAATGGGAGCTGCGAAGCCAGCGCTCTGGGCGGAGGCAGCCTGCAGACCTGCCTAGCAACGCCTCTGCCTAGCAGCTGAGCGAGGGGGATGTTGCCGCTTCAGGGGAGGCCCCCATCCAGTGCCCCCTCCGACACGCAAACTCTGCTGCTGGATGGGGGGGGCGCGCGGGGGCCTGAGACTGCCCCAGCAGTGGCTGGTGTACCTGGCACAAGGACTGCCTGAGCTGCCCCTGAGCCAGGTACACCGGCTGCTGCAGAAATCACGGAAAGTCATGGAATCCATGACTTCCATGACCCCGTGACAAACTCGCAGCCTTACTCATCAGCTATCTATGGCATAAGGGGAAAATTCCACCGTGAGGCATGGTGCCTTTCTTGAAACAGGGATCTGAGGAAAGGTCCTTTGTTGTCTTCACATGTCAGTGGGCATGAAATCTCTGGTCAAGATTATATAAGAAGATTGAGATCTCCTTGGGATCCAGGTGGGAAAGATAAGAAGAGAGACAAAAGAAGCAGGAAGATATGGAGGACAAGATACGACCAAGACTCAAGTTTCTGTGATTCTCCTAATATACTAGCTATGAGGAAAATGGCCCACTAAAAATTTAGAGCAACTATACACTTGCCTATTGGCACCCATGTCCACAGCTATTCCTTTACACCACTTAATGCCACATCTTAAAAATACAATGCAACCCTACTCTCATTCAAAATATATTTATCCTTTACATGCTATGATAACACACAACTGATTACGTCATCCTCGCAGCCCTTAACTCATAATCCCCTTTTTGTCTGAAAAAAACAAACAAACAACAACTTTCCTTTAGGCAAGTCCTAGGTATTAAAAACATAACTCTTAAGAGATTTTGAAGAATTTAGACTTCCCTGAAATTCAATGAGGTAGACAATTTAAAGGGTTTGTGACAGTGATTTCCAGCCTCTTTTTGCTAGAGCAGTGGCTCTCAACCTTTCCAGACTACTGTACCCCTTTCAGGAGTCTAATTTGTCTTCTGTACCCCAAGTTTCAACTTGCTTACAAAATCAGACAAAAATACAAGTGTCACAGCTCACTATTACTGAAAAATTGCTTACTTTCTCATTTTGTCTGTACAAAAGTTTAGTTTGTACTGACTCTGCTAATGCTTTTTATGTAGCCTACTGTAAAACTAGGCAAATATCTAGATGAGTTGAGGTACCCCCTAGAAGATTTCGGTGTACCCCTGGTTGAGAACCACTATGCTAGAGCACCCCCTTGCAATGGACTACCACAGCACTACACCCCCATCCAAGTGTGAACACAGTAACCATCTCCCCTTTTTCCCCCCTCCCATCCAGTTTTTCTCTTGTCCTCCTTCCCTGACAATTGTGTTTCCTCATCCATCCTATTTGCGTGGACTCCACCTTCCTCCACCACACAGCAGCTTTGAATTTCCCATCCCCACACTCCATGGATGGCACATACCTGGGAGCGGGAGGGATGCACAATAGTGCCTTCAAAGGCCCAGCTGAGTACCAAAGGAGTAAAGAAAACTAGATTGGACTGGCAAGATGCCATCTGAACCTGCACTCCTGTACACGTGAGCTGCTCCTACAGCAAGTCACATTGGAGTCACAACAGTATGGAAGTAGAGTGACTTCCAAGCAGCCACCTAATTTTAATTTTAGATAAGGCAGAAAATTTGTGGGGTGTGAGTGCGGGGTGAGTCTGGGATCCTGCCGCTTTCCTTCTACATACACCACTCTCCTCTACCTACTATGACCCCTGAAATAGCCGGGCATTCCCCCCCCATGACAGGAAAATGCATGTTTAAGAAGGCTGTCATGATTTTTCTGTCATTTGACCCCTACCGCAGTACTGATTTACTACTTATTTGACTGAAACATCCAAAGGATCGAGGCCCTGATTGTGCTAGGTGCTGTATGGACACAGAGATGTGGTCCCTTCCCTCAAAAGTTTTCAACACTGCAGGTCTTTATACATTGACCAAGTTAGACTTCTTAGTTCATTCCTTGTTTTAAAACCCACACAAAATCAACAGAAGTTAAACATACTTAACACTGCACATGCATGGTCATTGTAATATTTCACATTTAATCAAACAAAGCAAATATACTTTAAAAAAAGACTTCTAGAGATGTAGGAAACTTACAGACAAGGCAGAAGAAGAAATTTTACATGAATGGATTGGAAATAAGATCACAGTTAAGGATTTTATCCTCACAAATGGAGAATGAAAAACAAAAATACATAAAACTAAGGAGACCTGCTGAACATCACTGCTAAATTACATTCTCCATCCATTTCCTGTAATGCAACTATTTAGACGATCTATTTAGGACAAGGGCCTTGCCACCATCTCTAAGCAGCATAGCCTAATTGAGGCTAAATAAATAATAAAATGGAACATCACCCATGGCAACTTTTGAATGTTGTTCAAGTGATAGCAATGAGGCTTCTATCAACTAAAAAAATAGTGTTAGCCACCAAGAAATGTACTTACTTGTGAGCTTGTTGTGACTGAGAACCAGCTGTGTGATGTGGGACAGAGTGACTGTAAGAGAGCAGAAGAAAGACCGTAAGTGAATGAACTAACATAACTCAAATGCAAGTTCAGTTTCAGCCAACCAAAAACTTTCCCCATCTAGGAGACTGACATTTACATACACTGGCAGAGGTTAAACTGAGCAATACACGCCAATTCCTCTGTATCTTGATAGGTCTGAACCTGTATGATTCCCATACTAACCCAATTACAATTACAGTACTAAGACGCCAGAACATCTCTCCCCCCCCCCCCCGCAGCCCTCCCCACCTGCACATTACAGTATGGATCTGCCTTCATATGAGCACCATTTCACGAAAAAGATAATTTAAAGAAAGAATGTGGCCTGCTTTGTTCTCAATGTTTTGAGATTATGAAAATCTGTAAAAATTAAGAAATGACACAAAGTACTAACAGGTAAATAAAGTGACTTACAGCTTGTATATTTTTTCCAAATACAACACGCTTCACAGGATCTCTAACAGAATTATGCAATAACACCATTTTATAACTTGAAGTTAAAAGCTCAGACAATACAAAACAAGACAATACTATTTTTAAAGAGTGGGTTCTATCTCTGCAACACATCTCTAAAGAGCTAACTTTGAAATTTTCAACGTTTTTTTTTACAAGAAGATTACATGAATATAGCAGATTCTTCTTTTACTTTGTGTCAAGAGGACAATAAGGTAGACCCTAGTCCCATAGTAAACTTTGTATACCAAGGAGTCTGAACAAAAAGGCAGCAGATGAATTTCTTGTAGTCAGATATTAGTATTGTGCTACATACCAAAGGCGAGCGGAACCTTGTTCTTCAACAAGATTATTCTTTACCCAGTAGAGGCAACTGGCAGCAGAGAATGGCCACAGTCTGTGTAGTACCCTTTACACAGGAATCCCATGTTGTTCTACATAATCCCAACCCAGTGCACTTTAGATCCCTCATGAGAAAATCCAAGAGACATTTATACCTTTACAATTCCAAGGGACTGAAACAGTTATTGCTTGCTGGCTAGCAGAATGCAACTTATTGTCAATTTTTGAAAATATCTTTTTACTGAACTTTCTGCAGCTCGTTTTTATTATACTTTTTTCCTTTTGGATTTCTTTCCTCTTTTTCCTATAAGAGATCATGGTGTATATTTTACTGATGCCACATCTACACTATAAACTTTGGTCAACACAAGCCGCCACTGTTAGTATATTACCCATGCATATGCAAGTACTTGGTGCTCACTTCGGTGCTGCACATACTCACCAGGAGTGCTGGTGTCGACACAAGGTGCGGTGTACTATGAGTAAGGCTACTAATCTGTCATGGGGGGTCACAGATTCTGTGATTTTACAAGATCTCTGACGTTTGAAAATTCCAGTAGTTCAGCTCCAGGCAGCAGGGCTTGGGCTTCAGCAAATTCATGATTTATTGTTTATGCCCATGTCCTGTTCATGACTTAAAAAAAAAAAAAAACCTGTGCCAAAATTGTAGCCTTAACTATGGGTAGATATCCTAGAGGACCACATCCAACCCTCCAGCGCAATGTGAAAATTCCCCAAAAGGCAATCTGTTGTGGGCAGGGCCGGCTCCAGGCACCAGCCTGGCAAGTAGGTGTCTGGGGAGGCCGCTCTGGAGAGGGGCGGCAGGTCCAGCTATTCGGCGGACGGTCCCTCACTCCCGCTCTGAGCGAAGGACCTCCCGCCGAATTGCTGCAGCAGATCGCGATCGTGGCTTTGTTTGTTCGTTTGGCTGCTTGGGGCGACCAAAACCCTGGAGCCAGCCCTGGTTGTGGGGCACATACAAGTTGTGCAGGAAAGCTGGAGCAAGGAGTCAAGTTCCCATTATGCAACTTTCTCCATCACATAATACCATCCATATAACAATTTTCATGCCTGTTTTTAAAATCCCACAAATCCACATGGCACTTGTCTTATCACTGTCTGCCATTTCTTACAGAAGCATGGAGCCCGCACAGCTCTGTGCTATTGTCATGAACACTGCAAACAATCATTCAATATTTGCAGAGAGCAGGAAGTACTGCAACAATGGGGGCACATGACAATTTCTTTAAGGACAGACTGTTAAGGGACACAGAAAAAAGCAATTCAAGGTTGTTGGCAGCTTGCACAAAGAAGCTGTAGATGGTACAGCACTGATTCTGGGGCCAAGAAACGAATAGACTGGCGAGATTGCATCATAATGCAGGTTTGGGATGAGCAGTGGCTGCAGAACTTTCAGATGCAAAAAGGTCATAATTCCTGTATCTGTGTGCTGAGCTCATGCCAGCCCTCCAGAGCAGACACATCAGAATGACAGCTACATTGACAACTGAGAAGCAAGTGGTGATCACATTGTAGAAGGCTGCAGCAACAGATTGCTACCGGTCAGTGGGAAATTATTTTGGAGTTGAAATATCAACAGTGAGGGCTGCTGTCATAGAAGCGTACAGGGACATGAATTGTATCCTGCTATGCAGGATGGTGACTCTAGGCAATGTACAGGACACTGTGAATTGATTTGCAGCGATGGAGATCCCAACGTGTGGTGAGACAGTTGATGGCACCCATATTATACTATGCAGAATACATCAACAGAAAGGACCTACTTTTCTATGGTTATGCAAGGATTGGTGGATCACAGGGGATGCTTCACCGACATCGTCGGCTGGTCAGGAAGCGTGTGAGACTCGCATTTTTAAGAACACAGGACTGTACAGGAAGCTGCATTTTCTCTCTCCAACTAGCAAAATTACCACTTGCAATGCTGAAATGTCAATAGCGAGCCTGCGGGACCCATCTTACCCGTCTGGCACATTAAGCCATATCTGAATGGCCAGAAGGTGAAGCATGAAGTAGAATGGTGTGACCTTAGACCACACACAGAACTACCATGTCCACCTGAAGAAGACAGCAGCTAAAGTTAAGACGCGCAACAATCTTCTCAGCAAACTGGCAGGTTTGTCGTGAGGTGCTCATGCTCCAGCTTTACGGATGTCAGCTCTTGCCACTTTGCATTCAGTGGCGGAGTACTGCCCAGCAGTTTGGAGTTGATCGTCACACACCAAACAGGTGGATATGCAGTTACATGCCACCACACCTATCATCTCTGGCACCCTGCGTCCGACTCCATTCCCATGGCTTCCAGTTCTGAGCAATATTGCTCCTCCTCCTACCAGATGAGAGTTTGCCACTGGCAGGTTAGTGGAGGAAGTACACGCCAACTCAAGCCTGCCGCTGCACAATGACCTTTTTAAACCACCAGCTGCACGTTTGCCATCACGTCGCCTATTATGGTCTCATACACCTGTGATGGGTTTGATCACAGAAACCCCCCCCCCCCGGGAGCTGCCACCTGATGTGCCCAGACTACTTCTACACTTGATTTCCCCGCCAGCTCAGGACTCCAGCACCCTGTCTTGCTGAGCAAGACACTCCCGTCTGCTCCAACAAAGACCCAGGGTCTGAATTACTTGCCCCAAAGCTGCAGGTTTACCTGAAAACAGCTCACAGAAGTGTGCTTGTCTTTAGCACTCAGATGCTCAACTCCCAATGGGGTCTAAACCCAAATAAATCCGTTTTACCCTGTATAAAGCTTATATAGGACAAACTCAAATTGTTCGCCCTCTATAACACTGAGGGAGAGATATGCATGGCTGTTTGCTCCCCCAGGTATTAATACATTCTCTGAGTTAATTAATAAGTAAAAAGTGATTTTATTAAATACAGAAAGGAGGATTTAAGTGGTTCCAAGTAGTAACAGACAGAACAAAGTAAGTCACCAAGCAAAATAAAGTAAAATGCGCAAATCTATGTATAATCAAACTGAATACAGATAATCTCACCCTCAGAGATGCTTCAAGTAAGTTTTTTCCTCAGGCTGGACACCTTCCAGGCCTGGGCGCAATTCTCTCCCCTGGTACACCTCTTGTTCTAGCTCAGGTGGTAGCTAGGGGATTCTTCATGATGGCTCCTCCCTCCTTTGTTCTGTTCCACCCCTTTATATATCTTTTGCATAAGGCGGGAACCCTTTGTCCCTCTCTGGGTTCCCACCCCCCCCAATGGAAAGACACCAGGTTAAAGATGAATTCCAGTTCAGGAGACATGATCACATGTCACTGCAAGACTTCATTGCCCACTTGCCAGCACACACATATACAGGAAGTCTTACAGGTAAAACACACCCATCTGCAGACAACTGTCCGGTTAATGGGAGTCATCAAGATTCCAAACCACCACTAATGGCCCACACTTTGCATAATTACAATAGGCCCTCAGAGTTCTATTTCATATTTCTAGTTTCAGATACAAGAGTGGTACATTTATACAAATAGGATGATCACACTCAGATTATAAGCTTTGTAATGATACCTTACAAGAGACCTTTTGCATGAAGCATATTCCAGTTACATTATATTCACTTATTAGCATATTTTTATAAAACCATATAGACTGCAACGTCACACCGCCAAGCCAGGATGTTAGGGCGGAAACACTCTGGCGAGAGGAATGGATCTGTCATAATCCCCAACCAATCCCTTGTCACCGACCCCACAATTTGCCACCTGGTTTTGACCTGCTCTGTCGCCAATGGTCCCTGTTGAACAGGTTCCAGAACAGGCAAGGTCTCTGTGCAGCCAACTAGTATCGCTGGGGCCTTCATGGCAGCCCTCTGTGCAACTGCGGCACAACACAGACGATGACGCACACTGTCAATGAATGCCTGCTGACTAGATTCAGCAGTGGTCTAGAAGAATTGCATCACACCACTGAAGATGTCATCGCTTGGCTAGACGACTATGCACATGCTAAAAAAATAAATGAAGCCATACCCTGGCCACCTTGACAGCTTCAAGGAAGAGTCAACTACCAGCTCAGCAAGTGCAGAATGACAGCTAAATGTGCTTTCAACAGATTGAAGGGGTGCTGGCGGTGTTTAGTCACATGATTGGATCTCAGTGAGAAAAATATCCCATTGGTTATAGCTCCCTTCTGTGTTCTGCATCATAACTCCGTGGCAAAGGGGAAAGTGTTACTGCAGGGTGGGACAGCGGAGGTGGAGCAGCTATCTGAACAGCCAGAAACAAGGGCTATCAGAATAGCTCAACACAGAGCTATGCAGCTGGGAGAGGCCTTGAAAGAGCACTTTAACAGTCAACTACAGTAAGGTGCTGTGCTGGATGGTGATGAATACAGCCCTGAAGTTTTGGGGGCTGCTAGGAATTGTGTAACATTTTGTGTACATTTATGAAAATCACATTGACTTAATGAATCTGTCAATTATGCAATGCTTATTGTACATTTATAATTCTAACACTGTTTCTAACTGAATCAATGAGTTCTGTTGTCCTGTTCCACTACAAGTAATATGTGCTTTGAGTAGCGCTAGGGATTTGGTAGTATGTGTTAAGTCAGAAAGATGACTATTTCCAAAAAATAAAAGTCATATACCAAAAATAGTGCAAAAAAAGTGTGTAATTAAAAACCAGACAGTGCCAACAATAAATGAACAGAACAGAATTTTAAAATTAGAATAGAAGAAAACATTCATGTCCATTTCTGCCAAACATACACCAGTCGTGTCTCTCAGGTCAGTATATGTGATGCTGAAGGTTTCCTTACTGTCCCCCAGTGAGGAGTGGTAGGGATGCAGCCCAACAGGCTTCGTGGAATGTTGGAGGGTGTAGAGATGCTGCAATGGAGTTCTCCATTGACTGCATGCTTGGTCAACACGGATCTACAGCACTTGTGTTTGCTGCCTCAGAAGCCCCATTATGTCCTGGTGTATGTCCCTCTCCTTTTCCTGCTGGGACTTTTTTCCAGGCTGCCTCCTGTATTCACCCCCCCCCCCCCCGGCCTCTCTCTTCACAGTCTGATGCATCCCTGGCTTGCAGGATCTTGACTACGTCCTCTCTAGTTAGTGTCTTTCTCCTCTTCAGGGTCAGATGTTCCAGACTGGGGACCTCTCAAAGCTGCAATGGCAGAAGCTACAGATAAAATAGACAAATGTATCATTGCATTTACAGTCACAAAGGAAACCGAAAGATCAGTTTCAGAACTCTTCCCTTATTCCCATAGGAGTTTAAATAAGACATGCTTACTGACACTTCAGCTTTGGAGGGCCTCTGCACAGCACAGTTCTCCAACTGCAGCCATGGTGAGTATGGCTCACCAGGGAGCAAGGTGACAAAATGAGGAGGGAATTGTTCGGTCATGTAAAACAATAAAAATTTGGCCCTGTTTCCATAGTTACAAGTACAAAGCAGCGGCACCGAGTGCTGATGTTTTTCCATAGGCGGTTGTGATTTTAGCTGGTGTCTGGCTCAAGGGTCACAAAGGCACAAAAAAGCACAGCTGCTGCTAGCATCCTAAAGCCACCAATCCCATATGCCACCAGCCTGTTTCCTGCAATGGTGACTGCCAAAGTTATCACAGAATGGATGGCAAAGTGTCCTACTGCAGAGGAAAAAAATAAGACTAGCCATCCCTAGAAACCTTCAGAAGAGAATTGCAGAGTACCTCCATGGAAGTTTCATCAAGATCTCTCCAGAGGACACAAAGGACATCCCTATGTACATAAACTGCTCCACGTGCCCTCCCCTCACCTAACCCCACAGGGGAATGAAAAGCAGATAACTCCTTCTGATGTACCTCTACCCCTTCTCATGGGAGTAAAACAATGTAGACATCTGTTTCCTGCTAACCAGATGTTGAGTTGTGTGCTGTCTTCACATTTACTCCTTTTAAGGAAGAATACATGCACACACTTACCTGAGATTCCTTTCCTTTCATCAGGCTCATCCATGCTCAGTTGGTGGGACTGGCTATACAGTGATGGACTCTCAAACAGATTCTGGCTTGTGGCATAGCTAGCCACCCCCACAGGTGTTCCTCCTCCTCACTGTTGACAGCAGAGGTCTGTCCTGGATTCCACTGAGGCATCCACAGTGAGGTGCTGGTAGGGTCTCTGCCAAGTATGCCATGCAGCTAATTGTAAGAGTGGTCTTGACACCAGATCAACTGTTGTCCTCCCTGACCTTGCTATATTTCTCCTGCAGTTCCTTCGCTTTCACACAGCACTGCTGCAAATTCCTGTTCCACTCCTCACCTGCATCCTCTGTGTAATCTTTTCGTAGATATCCCTATTTCTATGACTAGTCCGTAGCTGCACCTGAACAGCCTCTTCTCCTCAAAGGCCCAAGAGATCCAATATCTCCAGTCTACTCCAGGTATGTGTCTAGCTGGCATGGTCAGTTGGGCAGTTCCACACAAGGGAGAGCTGTTGGGTGTGCCCACCAAACTGGGCAATCAGGAAAAGGCATTTCAAAAATATGCAGGGGCATTGGGCAGGATGGCTGACTTCTGGGCTGTGAGACCCTTGGGTAGTGGAGTTCATAACTATGACAAGAGCAGTCGCTGTTGGGCATTGTGGGACAGCTGCTGGAGGACTGTTAAGGTCAACATAGGTCACAGTGTCTACATTTGCACTGCGTCAACCACATGGCTCAACGCTGTTTGGGGAAGTGGCATTACTGTGTCACCATAATGGGACTTTTAGGGCACTAGAAGACATTTGAGTGCAGACACAAGCACAAATAAGTTGACACAACACAACTTACATTGACCTCACTTTGTAGTGTAGACCAAACCTCAATTATTTTCAGTCTTTTCTTCTTTCCCCCTTTATATCCTCTATTTCTTGATGTATGTTTTATTGTCTACCAACTTCCTCATACTTTGAGTTTCCTTGCCCCATCTTCCCCCCATACTGTACTTCTCTTTTCTAGTTTATCCCTAGAAATCTTTTCCTCCAACCCCTATTCTTAACCCCATTCCCGCTCTTTATACACATTCTTCACACCAATACACTTGCAAGAAATTTACCAGAAACCCAACTTTAAGAATTATCCTCCTCACCAAAGTGCAGTTTGAAAAAGGCTATTGACACATCCCTTCTTCTTAGCTGAGGAGAAAAGAAAGGGTGCTAAAATCTTAAGTATTGTTCCTGGACTTTGCTCCTGTCTTTTGTATCAGGTTCTGGCTAACAGGTTTCTAGTAAGTTTGAACAGTACTCATTCCACCTATTGCTATTCTGGCTGCTGGAAAAAAAGGACATTCCCTCTTTCAACCTCATAGTAATGAGGCAGCTCTGGGATGGGATCTCCAATATTCTGTCCCTCCCTTAACCATGTCACAGCAGAACAACTGTCTTCTATATATCGTCCCCAGTCATGAAATCTTCTTCACAGTGGATAGCTCCAGTGCCTGATGCTGCTCATAGTGCTGTTGCTTGAGAAAGCCATGAAATTAGCCCGATTCCTGTCTGTTCCTCTATTGCCCCAAAACCTCACCTAGAGCGTTAAGAGGAGAAGCAATGAAAACTTACAGTACCGGTCAGTTTTCAGAATGCTGCAGCTTGGAAAAGCTATGAGCAGCAGCACTGGAGTTGTCTGCAGATTAAGAATACGTTTACACTACAATGGGAAATAAATTCCTGCTCAAGGAGATACACATGATGAGAGCTAGCCTGGGTGTATCTGTACCAGCACGAGTGGCAGGAAGGGCTAGTCAACCTGAGTACATGCTTATGGTGTAAGTCAGTGGTTCTCAACCTTTCCAGACTACAGTACCCCTTTCAGGAATCTGATTGGTCTTGCATACCCCAACTTTCACTTCACTTAAAAACTACTTGCTTACAAAAATCAAACAAAAATACAAACATGTCACAGCTCTATTACTGAAAAATCGCTTACTTTCTCCTTTTTACCATATAGTTATAAAATAAATTAATTGGAATATAAATATTTTACTTGAATTTAAGTGTGATTGTTGAGCCTGTTTTTCACTTGTGAAGCACATCATTCTGGAAGGCAGTGAAGCAACAGCAACAATTACAATTTTCTCCACGTTGATTCTATTTCTGTAGCCTGTTGTAAAACTATGCAAATACTGTATCTGGATGAATTGACATACCACCTGAAGACCTCTGCGTACCTCCAAGAGTACATATACCCCTGGTTGAGAACCACTGGTCAAAGTGAATCATAGTGAGGGCAGCTAGCTCCTCCCATCACCAGAGCTCACTGGTATCTTAGTGCCCTAGCTCACTCAGAGTTGGTCTACAATACCACTTAAGTTGATGTAACTTACATCACTCAGGGGTGCAAAAGAGACACACACACAGACACCCTGCAAGCGACAAGTTACAGCAACTTAAGCACTGTCCACGTTGGCGCTATGTCGGTGGGAGATGCTCTTCCGTTGGTATAACTTGTCTTCACCTGATGTGGTGCATTGGTGCAGCTGTGCCAATGTAGTGCTGTAGTGTAGACTTGCCTAGAGCTAGTGTGGCTATGTCTCCTCAAGCTGGAATTTATATGTACACTAGAACTGGAATTGTATCTTTAGAAGCACAGCACTGCATAGGTTTACATATGTTCATGTCTGAAAAATTATCTTAAGTATAAAGGCTATAAATCTGGAGGGTCACCACTAATGAGAACTTGATTTTGTAGAAGATGATGGCCCTAACCCATGAAAGCTTATTTCTGCAAAGTTAAATTTTCAAATCCTGGAACCAACCAGAGAAAGGAATGGAGAGCCTAAAAGCAGCACCATGAAAATTTCATTTCTAAGGCCTGGACATGTAATAGTTCACTCAACCATTTCATGGGCTTGGGAGGAAGAGGAGCAGAAAGAAAGGGAGAAGGAAACACAGGACACTCACCCCAAATTATTCCAAAGAGATTTCTCTTCAGTAATTCACTAAGAATAGGAGGGCAAAGAAAGGTTCTGCAAAGGCAATTGCTATGAATATTAGGATCAGCAATATGGTGGGGGGGTGGGCGGCAAACAAGAGCATTAGCCATCATACAGAGCCTTATTGTACAGAATGGCTAATATTTAATAACTTAATATTTTGACAAACCTTTTAAAACTAACATTTAATGAATTACAATTATAAGATGCAGTTTTTTCCTATCACATGAGGAAGAGGATCATTCCAGAGCATGCTACTTTAAAAACTGGGACAACCTGATTCTATGGCTCTGCAACACAGTGGCAGAAACATCTGGTGCAGCAGTCCCTGAAATGGGTTCCCAAAGAGAGTAGCGGCAGCTGATGCCATTTCATTCACCCTCTCTACTAATATGAAGAAAGCTAACCGTGTATTTTATGCATCTATTCAACTTCTGCCTGAAGTTATCTTTAATAAACAAAAGATCAAGGCCCTGACCAATTCAGAAAATATTGCATCAGGCTGCAAATATATTAAGAAATCTGAAAATAAAAGGACAGAGAAAACGTCATACTGCCACAAAAACTCCCTCTGCTGTGTCCTTCATGTACCTTCTGAAGCAGTCCATGCCTTTGTAACTATTTTAGGAACATCAAGCTACCAGAGCCACAAGATGGCATTCTAGCTTCATTTTTAAATTATTCTAAAGCCAGACAACACATTGACATCACTTAAACTGTATTTTCAAAGTAGCTGTACAATACAATGAAAACTAAGTACAGAAACCTAGAACACTAAAAATTTTATTAGTTTTTCAAAAAGGGTCTTGGTTTGTAAGTACTATTTTTCACGGAAGGGAAGAACCATTTTTTAACAAAAAAATATTTTGTTCTGAATGTGACAATATTTTCAAATTTTAGAATGGAAAGCGTTTTGTATAAAAATAAAAATCACAATATTTCAACTTTTGCTTCTTTTTATTTTAAAACTGAAATGGCTATTTCACTAAAATCTAATGAACACATTCCTAGGTTGAGACATCCCAGACTGAAATCACCAATACCTGTTTATGGAATTTCATTGAAGGTGGTAACTTGTGCATACCTCTCATGCCTAATTTCTTAACTTTTATCATTCTATTCCAAGGTATCAGGTGTGCTGAAAAGGAAAAGTCTTCATATTTGATATATACTGTAGTTTAGACAGCTTACGGCTTGAAAGGTGACTGATTAACAGCCACAAAGCAGGTATACTCTCGCCATCAGCTTCTCCACTAATACTCCCCCACCAATGACTCAACCCTGATCAATAGCAATCAACTCTACCACCGGGAGCAGTCCACTTTCCAGGCTCAGTCTACCAGCAAGGATCTATACTGTAGTTCTGCAGTGTGTATACTTGTCCACTAGAAAGTCATTCCACATAAACAGAGCCCTACAAAATTCACAGCCATGAAAAACATGTCACAGACTGAAATCTGGTCTCCGCCCGTGAAATCTGGTCTTTTGTGTGCTTTTACCCTCTGCTATACAGATTTCATTGGGGGGGATTAGCGCTTTTCAAATTGGGGGTCCTGATCCAAAAAGGAGTTGCAAGGAGGTTGCGTCAGGACTCCCTACAATTACAACACCATGAAATTTTAGATTTAAATAGCTGAAATCATGAAATTTAAAATCCTATGACCATGAAATTGACCAAAATGGACCATGAATTTCTGTAGGGCCCTACATATAGAACAATGACCAGAGGTCAAAAGATGGTAGCTTTCTGTTACTTTAATCTTAGCCTGGATTCAAACTACTAACCTAGAAGTGAAAGACACTATATAGCCCATTAAGGGCCCCCCCACCCCCGCAAAAAAACCAACACACACACCCCTACCTGCAGGAGGAGAGCCCTGCTTCAGTGGGCCTTAAGACAATCAGAGCAGAGGACTGCAGGTGAGGAGCCTATACACCAACCCAGCATCTTTGAAAAATCAGGCCACTTATTTAGAAGCCTAAATTTGGCTTTAGCAGTCTTACAGTTTCCTGGTTTTCACAATCTTGACCTTAACATTTAATACCTAGAAAGTGTGATGCATTTAAGTTTTTGGTGTGGATAAAAAACTCCACCTTCACCTTATCTCAGCCCAGCCATAATTGCCTTTCATGAATCTGAAGATTTCACAGATTTTAAGCCAAACAAATAAATTATAATATAAATATATTTATTTATTTATTTTATTTATTTATTTGCCTTCTGGTTTTAGAATCTCTAGGATTCACATTTTCAAGCTTTTCTCTGCAACTATGAGGGCTACAAATTTGGTTTTCCAATAACCCTTTGCTTTCTGGTCTAGTCCTGTGAACTTCCTAACCCTGCTACTAGGCTGGATAAGACATAGCATGCTTGTTCTTCCCCACATAGGCGAACGGTGACGGGCCTCAAATGCTGTCTGCTGTTGGAAATCTAAATCCCTTGGTGCCACCTTAGCTCATATGTTTTGAGAGAGCCCCTGTATCAAAAATTGCTGGTATGAGGTAAATCCTGGATCTATTCCTGATACCTGAAGATTACCTGGTAACAAGGCAGTGTGGTTCCAACATGGAGCTTTGGTCGCTAAAAAATTAATCCTGCTAAAATGGAAAAGTCGATCCCCACCAAATACTGATGCCTGGCTCAGTGATATGACTGACCTTGCAGCTAACGAATGACTGACATTCCACACAAAGGGAATGCCCAAAACATTCAAAGCAATTTGGGCTGACTTTTTAAGAGGTCTATGATTAACGTAGCCCCTGAAGATAGATATGTCACTTCCCCTCCCCTCCCTTTATCCAAAGCCAGTTTATTTACTTTGTGTATTATGATCAATTTGTTATATTTGTATTTGAAAAAAATAAGTTAAAATTTAAAAAATATATATATCTCCCCACTTAGTCTTTCCTTCCAGGTCCCTTCCCCGCAGCATTCCCCCTTCCCCGCAGCATTCCCCCAGCATTCCAATGCCTACTCTTTACACTAAGATTAGCAGGAAAGTGCTATCTAGAGACTCAGAGAGGGACTGTAAAGTTATTTTAAAGGTGTATATAAAATAGATATATATATATATATACACAGTATGTAGCACACACATGCACACAGTTAAACCCCAAAACACACTTGACATGCCCTAGCAAGAGAGAG